GAGCACTTTTCAAATACAAACCAATCAATCCAGAGTCCATACCTACAACTACCTTCCTTATCAGGCTCTCACACCCTAGAGGTCAGTATCCACCTGCCCAATCACCCCAAAGCCAGGTACCAGACAACTAGAGGCAGCCCCTATGCTCAGAACTATTCAAGCAAGTCAATACTAAGCCTCACTTGTTCCTGCCCATGGCAACCACAATAAAGTGTCTTCCTTGCATATTCTTCTCTCTGTGTCTCCTGAGCAACCCTGGTGCATCCCGTGGGGTGAGACGTGTCCCCTCCTCTTGGGAACTGTGAGTGACAGCTATCATTTGAATGGCAGTCATCTCAGATCTGTTGATCTTGCCATAACCAAAATTTCCTATTCATACTCTGTACTTGAGAACAGACAGCACCAAGATCATCTCTTTCTCTCCTGCTGCAAGGTCGCTGGGCCCAACACCTCCCCCAGCTGTGTCCTCTACTCTCAGATCACTGTGTTTAGTTGATCTCAGGGATGGTGACAGAGGGGATGTGGCACACACCCCGCCCCTCCTGCATCCCACTCCCGGCTCCCACCCTCGCCCCTATCCCAGCCTGGGCCACCTTCTCATAAACCCAGGGGACCTGATTCATCTATTTTCTTTCCAATCTGGTAATTAAAGCACAGACATTAAGCCTGAGTCCTTCAGGATTTTGAGTCTAATACCCATCTAGAGCTTGCATTTTGAACATTAAAATCATTCTCTCTCAAAAAAAACCCTGCTTTGCAATTCAAAAGCTTTGTTTCTCAAGACTATTGTTTCCTCTCTCATAACATTCAAAAGCCTCCTCAGACACTCAGAGCCAAGAATTTGACTCTTGATGACCTGAATTTGGCTGTGTCGATGGCCCCCTCCACCCCCAAATGCAGTAAGCTCAGAATGGTGTAATTTTCATAGTGAATTATATGTGCATGTATGTGTGTATGTGTGTAAAACAAAATACTTACCAGTTAATATCTGAGTTTATTATTCTGCCACTAAAAAACACAACAAATGTTTACATACAGGCAGTATCATAGCTTATGAGGTTTATCCAAAGAATAGTTATTTGTAGACTACTAAAGACATTCTAAAACCAATAAAGTCTCATTGTATTGAGAACCCAATAATCAAAATTCCCTCTCCGTGCCTCTTATCAACAAATAACAATCTTTATGTCAGAGGCGTTTGAACCAGAGCAACTCCATCTCGAACAGGGGCTGGGTAAGATGAGGCTGAGACCTACTGCGCTGCCTTCCCAGGAGGTTAAGGAATTCTAAGTCATGGGATGAGATAGGAGGTCAGCACAAGATTCAGATAATAATGACCTTGCTGATAAAACAGATTGCATAAAGAAGTCAGCCAAATCCCACCAAAACCAAGGTGGTGACGAGAGTGACCTCTGGTCGTCCTCAGACAGCTCATTATGTGCTAACTATAATGCATTAGGAGGCTAAAAGACCCTCCAACCAGTGCCATGACAGTTTACAAATGTCATGGCAATATCAAGTAACTTCCTGACATTACCCTATATGGTCTGAAAGGGAGAGGATCCCTTGGTTCTGGGAATTGCTCACTCCTTTCCTGCAAAACTCATGAATAATTCACCCCTTATTTAGCATACAATCAAGAAATCACCATAAAATAGCCAACAGTAGCCCATACTGCTGCTCTGCCTATGGAGTAGCCATTGTTTATTCCTTTACTTGTTTTTTTTTTTTTTGAGACGGAGTCTTGCTCTGTCACCTGGCTGGAGTGCAGTGGTGCCATCTCGGCTCACTGCAACCTCCGCCTCCCGGGTTCAAGTGATTCTTCTGCCTCAGCCTCCTGAGTAGCTGGGACTACAGGCATGGACCACCAAGCCATGCTCATTTTTTGTATTTTAGTAGAGACATGGTTTCTCCATGTTGGCCAAGATGGTCTCAATCTCCTGACTTCGTGATCCACCTGCCTCGGCCTCCCAAAGTGCTGGGATTATGGGCATAATCTGTGAGCCACCGGGCCTGGCCTATTCCTCTACTTTCTTAATAAACTTGCTTTTGCTGCAGGACTTTTCCTTAATTCAGCTAAAGACAGGGTCCTTGTCACACGGCCGTGAAAATTTAGGCTCGCAGACTATTTGAAGGGTGAGTAGGGCAGGGTTTTATTGGGTGAAAAGGAAGAAAAGAGGAAACAGGGACCCTCCACAAAGACAGAGTACTGGCTGGGGCTTATTATAGAAGACGGGTCAGGCTCCTCCTGCAAACAGTGCAGACTTTGGTGGCTGCACCCAGAGTGCACCCCTCCCAGTATACAGGCCGGCTGGAGTTCTGCCAGGGAGGCCTTCCCACCTGTCTTCTCACTGTATGGACTTGCTCCGAATTATTTCTTGTGCAAGATCCAAGAACGCTCTCTTGGGGTCTGGATCACGACCCCTTTCTGGTAACACTTATACTATGCACCTCATTCAAAGTAAATGTGAGAATATTAAAGCTGATGGTTTCCTTTGGCCTGAGTTGGACATCTGTCTAGCCCATGTGCAAACTGGATATCATAGGGTACAGCTGGCAACTGTATGAGGGAGGAGTTGGGGGAGAGAGAGACAGAGACAGAGAGAACCAGAGAGAGAATGAGAGAGCACAGTAGGCTGGGGGCCATGGCTCACACCTGTAATCCTAACACTTTGGGAGGCCAAGGTGGGTGGGTCGCTTGAGGTCGGGAGAACAGTCTGGCCAACATGGTGAAAACTCATCTCTACTAAAAATACAAAAATTAGCCAGGCATGGTGGTGCACACCTGTAATCCCAGCTACTTGGGAGGCTGAGGTAGGAGAATCACTTGAACCTGGGAGGCAGAGGTTCCAGTGAGCAGAGATTGCACCACTGCACTGTAGCCTGGGCAGTAGAGTGAGACTCCATCTCAAAAAAAAAAAAAAGAAAGAAAAGGAGAGAGAGCACAGTGGACACAGGCCAGCTGGCCATGCTGCCCAGCTCCTGCCCTTCCTCCCCTCATCTCAGGACCAGGTTCAGGGCCTTGGCTTTCTCACTTGTAAATATATGGGGTGGTTTGAAGATTAACTGAACTATTGTGGATGAGATACTGTCGAATAACAAGTAAACCTGGACTCTGGAAGGGACTTTATTCTAATGGATCCCTAAGGGGGCAGGACGGGACGACGGCAATGTGGAGAGGGCTCTAACTGTGAGCTCTGCCAGTCTCCAGGGTCACGCAGCCTGGACTTTTCCTTTTCTTGGGAGGCGCAAGCAAGCTAGGAAGAGCTGGTGCGGTGTGAGGAGCTGGGGTGAGGGTGGCAAAAACCAGACAGCAGATCCAAAGAGTTTTGCCTTGGGGCCGTCTGCTCCTCGGAGGGGCTGCTGGGGGCCATCTGCAGCTCAGGCTGGGGAGTGAGGCAGGCCTGGGAGAAGGAGAGGAGCTTTAATAAAGTTTGGTTCACATGCATTTTGTTCTGGTCCACCGTGGGGTACAGTTCAGCTCAGTCACTGATGGGGCAAAGATTGAGATTTTGGAGGGGCTGTATCTGGCCTTGTCACAGGTAAACATAGGAGTGTCTGCAAGTCTCATCCCATTCGGGGAAGGGGCTCTTTGCAATGAGGGGTGTCCTGACCTTTGCTGTCTTCCAGGGTCAGCAGGTAGGGAACATCTCCAGGGACTATGGGAAGCTAATCCACTTGAGCATCAGCCGGTTTTACAGTCTCCTGCCCCACAGCCTGTTCTTCCCCAAACCCAGGGTAGAATGTGGTCACCTTGGGGGCTGGAATTCTCTCCTGACAGCCCCAGCAACGTATAGATGAGCCTGACTGAGCCTTCCTCAGTGCTGAGCTAAAGCCTCCATCCTGGGAGCGGCTATAGCTTCATTACCATCACACGTGACCTGTGCTGACATGGGAGGGGCTACAGCTTCATTACCATCACACGTGACCTGTGCTGACATGGGAGGGGCTACAGCGTCATTACCATCGCACGTGACCTGTGCTGACATGGGAGGGGCTACAGCGTCATTACCATCGCACGTGACCTGTGCTGACATGGGAGGGGCTACAGCGTCATTACCATCGCACGTGACCTGTGCTGACATGGGAGGGGCTACAGCGTCATTACCATCGCACGTGACCTGTGCTGACATGGGAGGGGCTGCAGCTTCGTTACCATCGCACGTGACCTATGCTGACATGGGAGGGGCTGCAGCTTCGTTACCATCACACGTGACCTGTGCTGACATGAGACGCACTGTGTCTTTGCAGCTGCAGCCCAACCTCTCCATGCAATGCCACACCATCTCCCCTCTCGCCGACCCCATAAGCCTGCCTGTCACTTCCCCCAAGGGAGATGCTGCTTTGAGGAACCCTCCCAGTGCTCTCCTTACTTCAGTCCAGTAGTAAAATTCCTATTGATCAAAACCTGCATTGTGGTGGAGTTATTTGTAACTTGCCAGGTGAATGAACCTGGGTATTTTTCAGGCATCACAGAGCTCGAGAAGTTCAATGTTGTCAGCACCGAGCCCTGCCTGGCACACAGTAGCTGTTCAGTTAATGTTTTCTGCAGTGGACAGAAGTGGAGCACTGTCCCCATCTGACGGTGTCTGAGTCATAAACGCGGCTTTGTTCCGAATCCTCTCATGACTGGCAGTTGTTGACAGAATGGCTGAGCCCTTGAGTGCATTTAGACATCGGGAGAGACAGGACAGAGAAACACAGAGAGGGACACTTTCTTCACAAACCCAAATCCAGCTGGTGATTAGACTCAGTAAGCTGTTTTTCCATATATTTCTAAAACCAAGGAATTTGCACCAAATACTGAGTCAGAAACCTATTATAGTCGACTATACTATCAATGACCGGCCTGTGGTGTGTTAGGAACGGGGCTGCGCAGCAGCAGGCAAGCGAGCGAAGCTCCATCTGTATTTATAGCCACTCCCCATTGTTCCTATTACCACGATCCACCTCCAGTCAGGTCAGCAGCAGGATTAAATACTCACAGAGCTCTCCGGCCCGGTTTCCTTTGGCGTGCGACTGTGCGCTCAATCCAGCACCATGGGGAAGAGGGACAATCGGGTGGCCTATATGAACCCAATAGCAATGGCGAGATCAAGGGGTCCAGTGCAGTCTTCAGGGCCAACAATACAAGATTATCTGAATCGACCAAGGCCTACCTGGGAAGAAGTAAAAGAGCAACTAGAAAAGAAAAAGAAAGGCTCCAAGGCTTTGGCTGAATTTGAAGAAAAAATGAATGAGGAACTGGAAGAAAGAACTGGAAAAACACAGGGAGAAATTATTAAGTGGAAGTGAGAGCTCATCCAAAAAAAGACAGAGAAAGAAAAAAGAAAAGAAGAAATCTGGTAGGTATTCATCTTCTTCTTCATCAAGCTCTGATTCTTCCAGCAGTTCTTCTGATTCCAAAGATGAGGATAAGAAACAAGGAAAACGGAGAAAGAAAAAGAAGAACCGTTCACATAAATCTTCTGAAAGCTCCATGTCAGAAACTGAATCAGACAGTAAGGATAGTTTAAAAAAGAAAAAGAAGTCAAAATATGGAACTGAGAAAGAAAAGGATATTAAAGGACTCAGTAAAAAGAGAAAGATGTATTCTGAAGATAAACCTTTATCATCTGAGTCCTTGTCAGAATCAGAGTATATTGAGGAGGTGAGAGCAAAAAAGAAGAAAAGCAGTGAAGAACGAGAAAAAGCAACAGAAAAAACGAAAAAGAAAAAGAAGCATAAGAAACACAGTAAGAAGAAGAAAAAGAAGGCTGCTAGTTCAAGTCCTGACTCACCATAACATTAAGAAAAATCAGGATTCCCTTCTAAAGAAAGTGCAATGTCTGAGGAAATTTCAACTGTGAAAACTACAACATATTTACTAAAATGCATGAATTTTCTTGTTTTTAGAATTATTCCTGGACTATTCAGTAGCCACTCAGATGCCACTGTGTGAAAGGGCCATAAATGTTGCCTGCTGCTTGAACATCTTTTTTTTTTTCTTCCAGTGCTTGATAACTCTGGGAGATAAGACACTGCAGTCATACTAGTGGTTAAGATATTTGGGAATAAAATTAATACTTTTGACTAGAAGTGTCTAAGGATAAACCAACAGAAATTGAATCTGGATGTATCTTTAAGATGTAATCAGAAATGACCAGATGACTCTAGTTAAAATTTTTGAAGGAGGGATTACATTAATATTTTAAAACCCTTACTCTGTAGATAAGTGTATCTTAATTTTTTCCCCTTGTATACTTTTATTTACCTGGGGAAGGAGCTTTTAGGGTTGGGGGGGGTGGTTTGCTATCTCTTTAGCTAGCAGAATAGTGTGCCTTTGATCCTCACACATCCTATATTCTGGACACAGTAGCCATGCTTCACAGGGAGGTCAGAGCTGGCTACCAGCAGTCTTGCCCTTTACTGAGCTTAGTGTCATCCTTGGATGCTGTCATATGCTGCTTTCAGTGAACCAGAGAAACAGCCATTTGCAGCATGAGAAAGCCCCAAAAGCTCTGAGATTTACCTCCACTTCAGTAATAATGAAAAATTTTTAGCATTAGAATGTGTTATGTCATTTGAATTAATTTTGATTACACTTTGGCTTGGGAGAGGAATTATTTTAAATAGACACTGGTACTTTTTGAACTTGATAGCTAAAGATTCTAAAATGCATGTTTTATACTAAGTTTTAACCAGTCAGGAAAATTTTATGTAACCAGTGATAGTTTATTTTTTGTATGAATTTTGTTTAGGCTGCAATGTTTAGCTTTTGTTAACTCCTCACTCTTGCTGTCTTAAGTTCATTACTGTGTTTAATGGCCTACTTGCCAAGATATTTAGCATGTAAAAAGCAGGATTTTGATTAAAAAAAAAAAAAAAGGCTTCATATTGAAGCTGAGACTTACAATAACAAGTTGAGTGGCAAGCCTGGTATGCTGTGTCTTATTGCCAGAATCTTAGTAAATGTAATGTTTTAAAAGTTAAAAAAAAAAAAAATACTCACAGAAGCGTGAACCCCATCGTGAACTGCACATGCAAGATCTAGGTTGTGTGTTCCTTACGAGAATCTGATGCCTGATCATCCGTCACTGTCTCCCATCATGCCCAGATAGAACCATCTAGTTGCAGGAAAACAAGCTCAGTACTCCCAGTGATTCCACATTATGGTGAGTTGTAGAATTATTTCATCATACGTTACAATGTAATAATAATAAAGTGGAAAATAAATGCAACGCACTTGAATCATCCCCACACCATCCCCCCTACCCCAGGCCATGGAAAAGCTATCTTCCACGAAACCAGTCCCTGCTGCCAAAAAGTTTGGGGACCGCTGAACTATACTGCTTGGCACCCCGATCTCTGGATTCTTGCAAACATCTGGCTATTAACCTTTCTGCCATATTTTTATATGAGATGGTAAAATGAAAATACACATGCTAAAGACAACAATCTGTTTTCAATGAAGCATGACGGTTTTACTAGCTGAGGCTTTCCAAAGTGCTTAGGGTGATTTCAAAGGCCTCTAATGAAAAAGGCATGACTATGCGATTTTTTTTTTCCTTCTTCTTTCTTTTTTCTTTTCTAAGGAGAAAGCTTTTGAAGCTTTTGTAATTTAGTAGAATTGTGTTATATTTTAGGAGGACAATTCTGTCAGCCTAAATTTTTAAGGACCATCTATGAGTCTGAAAGAAGTAAATTATAAAATAATCTCTTTAAAATAGATTGTGGCCACGGAGGCAGATGAAGTCGTTCCTTTTAACAAACCCCTCCCCTTTTTTTGTATTCATTTTTCCCAGAAATTCCTTTACTCTACAAAGATTCTCTTAGAAATTACTTGCAGCATCTTGGATATGGTTTCTTTCCTGAAAAATTGTTGAGGCTGAATAGCCCTTAGGTCACGTTCTCAGTGACTTTCGATCCTAACTTCTTTGTTAGAGATGACTCTGTAACATCGTGGAACACTTTCCATGAGAATGCGTTAATGTTCACGCCTATAATCCCAGCACTTGGGGAGGCCAAGGTGGGTGGATCACAAAGTCAGGAGTTTAAGACCAGCATGACTAAGATGGTGAAACCCCATCTCTACTAAAAATACAAAACTTAGCTGGCGTGGTGGTGGGCGCCTGTAATCCCAGCTACTCAGGAGGCTGAGGCAGAAGAATCGCTTGAATCTGGGAGGCGGAGGTTGCAGTGAGCCAAGATCATGCCACTGCATTTTAGCCTGGGTGACAGAACAAGACTTTGTCTCAAAAAAAAAAGGAGAATGCATTCTAACAAGATTTAATTAATACTAATTAATTAAATCAGTGAAGCACCCCAGAAGGTACCCCAGCCCCCAAAACACAGCCTAAGCCAATTATTCTAATAAAAACTTACAGAATGAATGAATGAATGGTTATATAGATGCTGTCAGAACAGGAAAAAATAAACTCCACAGGGAGATGGGAATATTTCCACATTTCCTGCTGGAGATTCAGTTCTGAACCTCAATACAGAATGGCTTGGAGAGTCAGACGGTCAGAGGTTGACTTTCTTTCATTGAGCTTAGGGGCTGAAAATCTTGACTGTGCATAGGATATGATGTGCAGGGCTGTACATTCGTGGTCAGACATGCCATACATTGGGGAGTTTTCAAGGAGAATTTCGACTATACGAGATTTTGGTTTTAAATGCTACCTCTAGAACTCACGCTCTGCACACGATGGCCTTCCATTGTATCTCATTTTTAATATCAATTCTTGATTTGTTTTAGTCAAGCTGACTCATGGATCCCTTCAGAAGAGATTTCTATTTCCCAAGATCCTCCAACAGGAACAACAATGCACTTAGTCATTCAGCGTAGTCATAAAAACATTCAGAAGGGCCAAAATTTGGGCCAGGTTCAGTGGCTCACACCTGTAATCCCAACAATTTGGGAAGCCAAGGCAGGAGGATCATTTGAGGTCAGGAGTTTGAGGCCAGCTTGGCCAACAAAGTGAAATCCTGACTCTACCAAAAAATACACAAAAATTAGCTAAGCATGGTGGCGCACACCTGTAGTCGCAGCTACTCGGGAGGCTGAGGCAGGAGGTTCATTTGAGGTCAGGAGTTTGAGGCCAGCTTGGCCAACACAGTGAAATCATGTCTCTACCAAAAAATACACAAAAATTAGCTGAGCATGGTGGCGCACACCTGTAGTCGCAGCTACTCGGGAGGCTGAGGCAGGAGAACCACTTGAACTCAGGAGGTGGAGGCTCAGGAGGTGGAGGCTGCAGTGAGCTGAGATCATGTCATTGCACTCCAGCCTGGGTGACAGAGTGAGATTTTGTATCAACAACAACAAAAAAGAAGGCCCAAATTATAATTACAGTTGATACATTTAATTGTGTTGTGTTTTCCAAGATTGTGTCTCACCTAACACGGAGGGACGTCTTAGGAGATTCAGATGAAACCCTATGTACTCTTTCACTCTGAGTTTTTAATTTATGAGCTGCAGGGTTTGAAGCACTAATCAATACAGGCAGTTGGCTGAGGACTCATTTTACAAATGAGGCTCTTGGGGAGGAAAGGTGGGCTGTGTCACAGTGGACTCAAAGGCTAAATGAAAACCTGCTGGAAAACACTTTTCTTGGCACCAAAAGGTATTTAGTGATTAATAAAAAGTAGGATGGCTGTAACCATTGCAGACACTAAACCCAATTCATCTCAATAGCTGCTGCAGCTGCAAGCTGCCCCTAAAATATGTATTCTCCCTTTTTTTGTCATAGATCCCAGCTTTTCAACCAGGCACATGGCTGCTCAGAAAACTCTGCATTTCCAAGATTCCCTTGCAGCTAGGTGTGGCCATGGGATGTAAGTGGAGGTGGAGATTGTCCCGAAAGGAAGGAGAAAGATGTCTTCATTCCTGCCTTCCATTTTCCTGTAGCCTGGAATTCAGGCATGATGTTGGAGCACGGGCAGCCACCTTGCACCATGAGGTAGAGACAGCCACATACTGAGGATGGAAGAACAGGATGGAAGGAGCCTGGATCTTTGCCCCATACCTGCTTGGTGAATCTCTTGAAAGAGAGAAAATATGCATCCTCTTTTGCTTAAGCCACTGTTTATTATGGATCTTATGTCTGTTTGAACCAAATGTCATCCTGATGCCCTTCCACTCCATAGCAGTGTCAAGTCAGTCCCTCTTCCTGCTCTTAGGTATATAAAATATTTAAAATAAATACTAACAGGATGTAAATACATTGAAAAGTAAAATTGCAAATGTTGCAAAAGATGCAGGATTTGTTGAAATTGGTGAACTGGATGTTGGAGAATTACTTGGACCACAGGCACGTTAGGCTCTGGCAGTGCTGGAAACTGGCTAACAGTTGAGGACAAACCCAGCAGGAGAATGAGGGGACAGGCCTCGCAGAAGAAAACTTCAATTTCAAAGGAAGAAGAGAATCTCTGAGGGGTACTGATGAGGTCCTAGCACGTTGTTTCTTATTTGTATGAAATATCTCTTGGCCTGGCTGGGCACGGTGGTTCACGCCTGTAATCCCAGCACTTTGGGAGGCCAAGGTAAGCAGATCACTTGAGAACAGGAGTTCGAGACCAGCCTGGTCAACATGACAAAACCCTGTCTCTGCTAAAAATACAAAAATTAGCCAGGCATGGTGGTGCTTGTCTGTAGTCTCAGCTACTTGGGAGGCTGAGGCAGGAGAATTGCTTGAACCCAGGAGTCAGAGGTTGTAGTGAGCCGAGATCACACTACTGCAATCCAGCCTGGGAGACGGGGTGAGACTCCATCTCAAAAAAAAAACAAACAAAAAAAAAAAAAAAAAAAAAAACAGAAAGAAAAGAAAAGGAAAAAGAAGTATCTCTTGGCCTTATACTCATAATGTCGTTTTCTTTTCTTTTCTTTTTTAAACAGAGACAGGGTCTGGCTCTGTCTCCCAGGCTGGAGTGTAATGGGGCCATTATAGCTCACGGCAACCTCAAACTCCTGGATTGGAGCAATCCTCCGGCCTCAGCCACCCAAGTAGCTGGGACTACAGGCATGCGCCACTGTGTCTGGCTAATCTGGCTAGTTTTTTTGCTATTTTTTGTAGACATGGGGTCTCACTATGCTGCTCAGGCTGGTCTCAAACTCCTGGGCTCAAGTGATCCTCCCATCTTGGCCTCCCAAAGCACTGGGATTATAGGCGTGAACCACTGGATACTGTTTCTGTTATGCCCACACAAATAAATTTTGTTCAACATAAGACAGATTTAACCTATTTTCATAATTTTGGGCTTCATTTTTCAGTATGAAGTCACAATCCAGCCTTTTCTTAGACTGTCCTTGTTTTCCATGAAATTCTGGTCCCTGTTCAAATGGATGATGTCAGTCAGCAGCTGTCAGCTTCTGCTGCACACGGGGTCACTGGGCTGTTTTGGGCCTGGGTCTCCCCTGACAGTCTGATTCCTTTGGTCAAGGACGCCGCCTGAGTATCCAGATTTCTCAAAGACAAGGCTGGGAGCTGCTGTTTCCAGTGGCCCCGCCAGGTGTGGCCGATCCCAGATAGGGAGATCTTGGCTCACACCATTCCCACATCAGCTCCTACCACTGACCAACCATTTAAAGTGACATTAGAATCAGAGAGGGGAAGTGAGGATGGGGACTGGGAAGATGCAAGGAAACAAAAAAGGAAGGAGAGAGGGAGGGAGGAAGAAGACAAATGTTTCTTCATCAGAAAACGGATAAGAAGAGCTAGCTCTCCCGTCTCATAAGAAGCTCCAGATAAATGCCAAAAAAGGCGAGTTCAACCACCAGGGACGTTTCAAGGGAAGAGGTCCCGTAGCTCCATGCAAAGTACTACTGCAGAGGCCAAAAGAGGAAAGCAACGAACACCTGACACCAAGACATCTGCTGTGAGCTCACATGTTTTCAAAATTCCAGCCTTAACTGTATCTGGAGAGTGCGGTCTTCACCACTTTCCAGATCCGCAGGGCTGGCAAGGGTTCTGACCGCGCCCGCGC